TAGATGGACACTGTCACTTTAAATTTCAAGGAGATTTGTACGCATGCGTAGTAGAATCCTCCGGGGTTGGGGGTGGGGTGTCCCCTCACATAGGCAACCCCTCTAATCACCAGAACGGAGGTGTGCAGACAGTGAAAGACCAATGAACAGTTACAAAAAAACAATGTCCATACCTTTATCTCCATGGTTGTCAGGCATCCATGTCTGTGTCTACTCTGATCCTTCCAGAACTTGGTCTCTCCCAAAATGGTTGCTCCGGGTGCTGCAGAACGTCTTGTATTAGAAAGCAATGGATTTCTTGCTTCGGTTACAAATTCTCCTATCTGTAAGCCTTCCAACCTTCTAAATATTCTTTTATATGTGGTTCAGAGTTCTGGCACCATCCCCAGAGCCTGCTTTGTCTGGTATTCTGTGTTGTTGTGGATTGAGCTCCTCACTGCACTTCTACCCATCTGCCATCTTGTTGGATCCTCTGACTTTGTTTTTTTAAAGACATTTTCATTGCATATACACAGGGAGCAGATGGTCCTATTAAATAACAGAATCTATTGATTGATAGCATAACATCATAAGCATCTTTAACTGTGGAAACTGAATCTTTTTTCCATAGAGGTTTTTTTTTTTTTTTTTAACTTTTTGTTGAGAATTGAGTGAAGGACTGCAGACAAGATCATCAGTTTTATATCCAACAAATCATATACTTTATTTCATCTCAATGATTGCAATCCCCTCCTTGCAGCTACAGTTATCTCGCTTCCTCCCTTTGGTTCCTATTTCCATTCCACTTCCCTTCCAATCCCTTTTCAACTTTGTCCTTAGGCAAATGTTGCTCTTTTAGATGGCTGATCATGAGCTTTCAAGATTCCAGACAATACTCACCAAAGTAGGGTATAGAACATTATGTTTGTGGACTATGCTATGCCAATTGCCATGGTGTCCCCTGAGACCATGGTCCTGAGACCCCCAAGCCCATAAACTCACCAAAGTAGGGTATAGAACATTATGTTTGTGGACTATGCTATGCCAATTACCATGGTGTCCCCTGAGACCATGGTCCTGAGACCCCCAAGCCCATAAACTCATTACCTAAAAATGTTTAATAATATCTTAGAGTTTTTCTTCATGTTGCCCTCGATATGTAAACATGTCTCTCTCTCTCTCTCTATGTATATATATATATATATTAGTTGTTAAGTGCCGTCGAGTCGATTCCGACCCATAGCGACCATGTATAGTGTTTCAGAGGATCAGCTGGTGAGCTTGAACCACCAACCTTTTAGTTCAAATGGCTTTGTAGTCTGGAGCATTAACCCACAGCGCCACACTATATATATGTATTTGTTGTTACATGCTGTCAAAATGATTCCAACACATAGTGACCCTGTATAGCATTTCTGAGGAGCAGCTGATGAGTTTGAACCACCAACCTTGCAGTTCAGACTGAACTTATGGTCCAGTGCTTATTCTACAGCACCATACCAGGAATATAGTCCTGGTGTGGCACTGTGGCCTAATGAATTGGACTGCAAGGTCCAATTTGCTGAAAACAAAGAGAACTTAAAATAATTACTGAGGAATATTAAAGACTACAGCCTTCAATATGAATCACTCCAGTACATAAAGAAATAAAAAATCCTCACAAATAGACCAATAAGCAACTTTATGATGAATGATGAAAATATTAAAATTGTCAAGGATTTAATTTTACTTGGATCCACAATCAAGACACATGAAAGTAGTAGTCAAGAAATCAAATGACATTGCTGCAAAAGATATTCTTTAATTTGTTGAACAGGAAACGTGTCACCTGAAGGACTAAGGTGTGCCTGACCCAAACTATGGTTTTGTCAATCTCCTCACATGCATGTGAAAGCTGGACCATAGATAAGAAAGACTGAAGATGAATTAGTGTCTCTGAATTATTTGTTGGCAAAAATATTGAATAGACTATGGACTGGCAGAACAACAAACAAATCTGTAAGATCTATAAGAAGTACAGCCAGAGTACTCCTTGGATACAAAATGGAGAGATTTCATCTCATGAACTATGGCCATATTATCAAAAAAGGATCAGTCCCTGGAGAAGGATATCATGCTTGGTAAAGTAGACTGTTAGCAAAATATGGAAGACCCTTAATAAGATGAATTGAAACTGTAGCAGCAACAATGGGCTCAAGCACAGCAACAGTTGTGACCATGGTGCAGGACTTGGCAGTGTTTTACTCTGCTGTCCATAAGATCACTGTCATTGGGAACAGGGTCAATGGCACCTAACAACAGCAATGCATTGCCAAAAGACTTAAAATCTCAGAATTAAAAATGATTAAAAAGTTAGTACTCAGTGATTTAATGCAAGAATATGACAGGGAGGCAAGTGCTGTGGGAATTGGGAAGAACAAACTGTAGTAAAAACCACTAGGTAATCCCTGTCCTGCTGAGTGGTTTTCCCAGAGGGCTGATACAGTGCCAAAGCCTATTAGACATACTGAGGCAAAGCTCCTTTTAAACAGGACTCAGCTCTAATTTCACCTTACTGCTCTCTGACAACCTCCAGTTGCATTGTATCTCTGTATTTGTGTCTCCTGCTGTTTATATTTACTTATTCCCCCAAAGCCACAATAGCTACAAAAACAAATATTTCTTATGAAAGGCTTTGAATCAGTGCAGATAGAGTGCTCTGCTCCCATTTTCCCTTGCACACAGCTTGTGTAAATAGGTTTTTAATATATTCTGAGATTAATTTGGTAATTAGAAACCTGTTTAGAATAACAGGTCATATAGTCACCATTTCTATTTCAGAGTAATTCTGAGTTTTTGACCCTAGCACAAAGATGAGCAAATGTGTATTCAAAAAGAAATTCATTTGAATCGTCCACTTCCTTTGCTTTGTCAGATCCCAATTGATATTCTGTTTGGATTTTTACTACCATCTTTTTGACCTTTGGCAAAGGATTGTGCTGACTTTTCTGGTTTCAATTTTAGGAAAAGCTTTTAAATTATTAGTTTTATTTATTTTACTGAAGTAAATCACCTGCTCGATTTCAGGAAGGTGTTTTTATTCTGAAGTCAATTCTATTCATTCTCCATGAAAATTGGATTATGCTCATTGTAGTTGCATAAATACAGACGCGGTAGAAATGTTTGTGGTTTTTCTCATACAAGAATGTCACCTAAATTCTCTAATGTTATCTGACAGAAGTAACAGAGACTTTTTATAAAAAGAAAACAAATGAAGATTAACTTCAACATAATCATAAATGAAATTTGAAAATGGATTTTATTAAGACAATTGCTTTTTGCTATTAAGACTAATATAAACACTAAAAATAGCTGGGTGGTGAATGTACTTCATATCACTTAAATACTCTGTACTTAGAAAAATAGCATTTGGAAAGCAAAAAGAAACTGTTTCTGCTATTAAGTGACAATATGTATTGATTTGGGTTAAATCTGTGTTATAATTAAATAGATTACTTTATCTGGAAAACATATAACTGAACATTACTGAAACAGAAGATATTGTCAAAATGTTAAATTATTCCATATTGGCTTTGAGAAAGAACTATCTAGTGCTGAGATGTACATATTCTTTTCCTTTTATTATTTATTTTTCTTTAATCCAATGTAAATTGAAATTATTTTTAAATTCATCATTTTCTTTTTCAGAGGTGACTATTCAGTCCTGGAGACTCTAGACAAAAATAAACATAAGTAATAATTAAAATAATATTCTTGTAACCCACATTTTCAGCCTTAATCAGAAAGTCTCATGTTCATTTTCTGAGACAATTTCTTTTCTAGCTTATCACGGAACAACCTCAATATTTAGTCTTATAAGAGAATCACATATACTCATATGAAAGATTGAAATTACTGAGAGGAATAATAATAGATGTGAAGCTACAGTCCCAAAGAGTATGATACTATAAATAGGCAAGGCACTGTATGTCTTCCCATTGGTTTTAGTTTCCATTTTTAAACAAAATATTTAGAAGCTACTTATTTTATTTCAAATCATTCATGTTTATCAATTCCAAAGACATTTCCCGAATGTCTATATTCTAAGTGAGCTTTATTCATTTCTGTTCTAAATATGTTAGACAGAAAGTGAATGTTTTACTGATATTCTTTAAAATGGAAACAGTAAACAGTCGAGAGAGAAGAAAAATAAGTTAGTTAGAATGACTAGAAAATAATATTATCCTTTCAAACTGACATTTAAGAAAATGGCAGACTGCCCATAAATAATTGTTATTCCTCTTAAAGCTTGTGTTGTGTTTTTAATATGCTGTTGTTGTTGTTAAGTGCCTTCGAGTGTGGTTCTGACTCACAACAACCCAGTATAGGGTTTCCGAGGAGCGACTGGTGAGTTCAACCCGCCGACACTGTGGTTTGAAACAACCTACAGTCTACTGATTATCCTGCAGTGCCACACCAGAACTCTACTATTAATATATTACTATTATGGACATTATGTAATATGTTGTTGCTGTTATGAAGTGCTGTCGAGTTGGTTCTGACCTATAGCGACCACGTTTTCTGACCCATAGCGACCATAGGGTTTCCTAGGAGAAGCTGGTAAGATTGAACTGATGACCTTGCAGTTCAAACAGCTGTGCAGTCTGGTGCATTAACCCACAGTGCCACACCAGGGCTCCGTTATGTCACATATTAATATTATAATAATATAGTTCTTATTTATTATGTCATATTTTAATATA